AAAAAAATTGAGAAGGGGTGACCTAGCGCCCGCAGGCAAGTGCATTTCAAGAAGCAAACAAATTTTAATTGTACTCTAAAATTTATTTAAGTAAAATAATGAAAAGGGGTGCCTTAGCAGCCACAGGCAAAGGCATTTCAAGAAGCAATAAAATTTTTTTTGTACTCCAATATCGAAACATGTTTAAAAAAATGATAAGGGGTAACCAGCGCCCTCAGGCAAGGGCATTTTAAGAAGCCAAAMCATTTTAATTGCATTCCAAAATTTTATTTAAGTAAAATAATGAATAAAAATGGGAAGAGTTGACCTAGCGCCCACAGGCAAGGGCATTTCAAGAAGCAAAACAATTATAAATTGTACTCCACAATTAATTTAAGTAAAATAATGAATAAAAATGGGAAGAGTTGACCTAGCGCCCACAGGCAAGGGCATTTCAAGAAGCAAAACAATTATAAATTGTACTCCACAATTAATTTAAGTAAAATAATGAAAAAAAAAATGAGATGGGGTGACCTAGCGCCCGTAGGCAAGTGCATTACAAGATGCAGAAAATTTTTAATTGTACTCCAATATCGAACCAAGTTAAAAAAATAAGGAGTAACTTAGCGCCCTCAGGCATGTGCATTTCAAGAAGCAAAAAAATTTTAATTGTACTCCAATATTGAACCAAGTTTAAAAAAATGAGAAGGGGTAACCTAGCGCCCGCAGGCATGTGCATTTCAAGAAGCAAAATAAAAATTTAAAAAAATGTTGTATTTTTAAAACAAATTGATTACTGCAGCCTTTATCTCCAAGTTCTTAAAACTAAATATGTATTCATAATTATAGTTTTCGTAATGAATTATTTAAATTTTGATTAGATTTAAAAATATATTAAAGAAAGTGATGTGAATGAAAATTGTTTGTTATAAGAGGGTTATGTGAGCGAACATCTGTATACCTATATATTTTAAGTTGAATAACAATTTTAATAATTAKAAAAGAAAACAGAAAGCAAAAGACTGCAGTCAACTTTGATTTATATACTAATTACTACCTACATATTGTTTACATTAATATAAGTGAATTAAATTTTATCAGTGGACTCATTATTAATTATATTTTATGCTTTTATGTTGTTTGAAATACTGGCATTACGCTAGTTTGGCTTTAAAGCTTTTTTTGAATGTTGGTAATATTAATCAGATTAATAATAAATAAAAAAAAAAAATACAATAAAACCTAATACCCTTCCTCAGTAATATTTAAATATTTTCTTTCATTGCTATGTTTACAATGTCGAATACCTTGATAGTTAGTAGCAAAAGATCATTGCAATGTTACGACCAGTGATGATAGTCACCTATCGTCACCTGTGCTTCAACTCATCATAGTCGGCATAGTCTATATAGGTACCTAACCTAACCTTCTTATGACTTTACTTAACCATCTGTTTGTCACGCGGGGAAGGCAGTGCCGTAGCCAGGGTTAGGATTTGATGAGGGTAAAAGTAATACAAAGTATACAGTACTATACACCCAATATCCCTCCGAAAATGATGACTACGTCAGTAGTCAGTAACTACGTATAGTTTAATATGTATCAAAATTAATGATCATAGAAAAATTAATAGTAGGTATTTGGGTAACGCGTGACAAATGGATGGTTTAGTAGAACACTTCGAATAAAAAGAATTTAGTTGGTTTTCGATATAAGTGTTTCCTTATCAATCTGATCTATTGATTGTTAACCTCTTAGAACTTTATTTTTTTTCAGAAAAAATTGTAACTATGTGGCATAAGTCAAAAATAATTTATAATTAAAATTTAGAACTTACTTCATAATATATATTATTTTACTATGAAAATATAAAATTTTAAATTTAAACTCTTCAATTTTAGTCTCATTGCCGGATGATAAATTTAGAGTATGGAGAGCAGTCAATAAATCCATTAGCGCTGATCAATCAGCTAGCACCAGAAATTAAATATGTACATACAATTATACGTAATCATCCTTCAATCATAGGGATGAAAGCTACAATACATAAAAACCATTTTGTTGCACGAGGTATTTTTTATATTTTAACATACTTCTATTAACAACTAACATTTTTATTAAAAATGTTTTTCATTACTTTAAATATTTCATATAATGTAAACTCAGATAAAATGTGTATACAATAATCAGTTATTATTGGTATTAATTTATATTTAACAGCGCCAACAAAAAGAGAGGTAAAGGTAAAAATCAGCATTATGGCCATAAATTATTTTTATGGATATGATTATTAACGATATTCATTACATTTCTACCTTTTTCATTAATAAATACATAAAATTATTTAATTTATTTAATTTCAGCTATGACCATTTTCTTGGGGTACAAGAAGGATGTACATCGCTAAAATTATTTAAGAGAATTCGTTGAAGAACACAAACAATATTAAATTAACCAATTGTATAATTTCTTTTTACACAAATTATCCGTCATACCTACACAGTGACTTAGGCACTTTTAATGTCTAAGTAATCACTCAATACCTTTATTATTTTCATATTATAGTCTAATATATATCATATATATTATTAGACTTTAATATGAAAAAATAAAGGTATTGAGTAATGAGTGATTCATCAAGTTCTGATATCATTACTATATGATGTGTATTGTGAAGGTAATCTGTGTAAAAAGAAATGATCAAATTGGTTAATTAAATGTTTATATACTTAAATACTTATTGTTACTGTTTGAAATAATATCAATAAAATATAATATGTATATTACATTATTRCATAAAAAATATATATATGACTGATTTTAGAAGTAGATATTGTAGTGTCGGTACTTGGTAGACGGTAGTATCCAGTAATTTTAATAATATATTAGATTCATTGTACAGTAAAAAATATTATAATTGTATTAAAGTTTTAAATTCTACAAGTATTATATATTATTACATATTATTAATTTATAAATAATTTAATATTATCGCCCAACGGATGTTGAGGTACCTAAATAAAATGACAGTCAGCGCTGTACAATGGTACATTCTATATTTCTACGAAAGCGATTTGATCAAAAATTCAGAAAAAACAAAATAGATTTATTTAACTAAGTTCGACTATTATTATAAAATTGAAAGAAAATTCTATCATGTATAATATCTTAAATGACATTTGTTTTGTTAATTATTATTCTTGAAAAGTTGTACAATGAACTGTATAGTAGGTACCTTATAGTTTTAATTAAGCAATGTATAATATTGTATTCTTATAATTTGTATTATTACATAATTATTATGTTATAATACACTTATTTTTTAGCATTAGCATCAGTAACTATGGCAATTAGCATATTGTTAGACACACGTGAACATATGGGGCATGGATTCGTCGCTAAAAACCCAGGTAGTCACACATCCGGGAGTTAGCGACACCAGACGATGCTTGACACATTTTAAATATTACAGACAACCACCGCGCCACACCAAGCCCCAAAATGCAACTTTTTTGTACCAACTTATTTTATTTTAAATAAATATATTATTTTYGGTATTTGTACATCAATATTTACTGTTGTATGCATGTACCACTGTACCAGACTAGAGGTAAATTACATTTTTTTTCCAAGGCATCAACCGCATGGTTACTTAGTCTGTTTCACTGTTTGGTTTGAAACATATGTAAATGCGACAAGAATTTATCACTAAGAACCCAGGTGATCGCCCATCCGGGAGCTAGCGACGTCTGTCGATGCATAATCTCAGAACAAGTGACTGTGGCCAACCATCGTGCCATAATAAGCACCAAAATTACTTTTTTAAATTATATGGAAACTATATAATTTATTATATTAGATAAAAAGATGATAATTACAATACGTATATGTCACTTAAAATATAAAAACTTATAATTACGTAACAACTTTTTATAATTAAAAAAAAAAAAAATTGTTTAAAATCATTTAATTTCATTATTATATCGTCCATCTATTTTAATAAGTTAATTTATTAGCTTAGTCAAAAAAAGTATAATACTTCTTCACGGCCAACTATAGAAATATTATAATTGTCAATATTTGACAAAATTTAAATGTCTGAAATTGAGAATGTACCATATTAAAAAAATTACCCATCACTAGATCGCATTTCTTTACAATATTAAAGATTATATTATTAAATTAATAAAATGAAATATAGACAATTTAAAATTTAAAAATACCTATATATTAACATTGTTTTTATTTTGATATTATGCTTAATAATTATTGACAAAAATTGTAGGTATATCATTATTTTAAATTTATTATAACAATTTTTGTTTAAGTCGAAAAGTGAAAGGTACGGGTTTGGTCGAAAACGGACTCCCCCCTAATAATGAGCCAAAAGCGAGTGTTATGATAAATTTGATAAATCGGTTGGCCAACTGGCTGCATACGAGTTTTCACATTCGAATAATAGTTCTGTTCGGATACGCTAATATTATGGTTTGAATAATAGAGRGTTTGTATAACGGAGGTTCGGGTAATCGAGGTTCTACTGTATTATGAAAATAGTAAAAATACCTACCTAGTAAGTATCTACAAATACTATATAGGGCATTTTCATTTAAAAACTGATGAATTATTTCTTATCAATGCCCCCCCTCCCTACAGATTGTTAAAGTAGTTGCCTATTTTACTCTCTTGAAATGTTTATGAAAACAAATTAATTTGTAATACCTAAMATATTCCTAAAATATGTTAAAACTTATAAAATGTAGTACAATTGAAATGTATACATTTCAAATTACGGTTAAGGACGTTAAGGTTTTATGTTATTTTTAAAATTTTAAGTGAATCTTAATCAAATAATATAGGACCTTGTCTCAAAAAAGAAAATTTATTGTTAACCAATTTTTGTCAGTAATTTGCTTCTACCACCAACAACACTCTRTTAACTGTGATCAAGTAATTCTTGAGGCACCAATTACATCATTCAAAAAGTTATGATGATTATAAAATAATGATTATCAAACAGCTAATGTCTCCACATATGAAGTATATTTCTATAGTGAAAAATATGTATACAACATAAAAGTCATATTCTATTTTACAATAACTATTTTATTTCTTAACACATAATTAATACTATTTGTTATTTTCAACTGGTATTTCTGTATGTATTCGTATCCCATGCATTGACTTAATTTCATCTTTTAAAACCTGAAACAAACAGTATAAAAATTAATTGTTATAATTAACTTTAAGTAAACCAAATGTAAATTGTTGAATCAAATTTAAAATGTCTGAAATGAATAAGAAATATACCTAGGTTAAGAACCATAATATTTCAAACACTAAATTTGGCGAGTAACTTGTGAGTTCTAATAATTTTCTTTTGAAATAAAAAACAAGATTTTTTAGTAAAAAAAATGGAGTTTTCCATAACAAAAAAAAGTTTAAGGTCATTAATAACCAAATTATTGATACTAAAATTAATTAAAATACTTTGAAAAGTATAAAGAGGACAGGGATTTGGGTTTAACCATCCGAATACTTTAAAAAAAAAAATGTTTTCAACAAGGCTATTTAAGATTAATTTGAAATTTAATTTACTTATTATACACGCCTTTTAGAATTTTTTTTTGTATACATGATTAGTTTATAATTAATATCAATGATTGTTACGTAAATACCTACTTCGTTAATAAGTTGGTGTTGTTTTACCATACTCATTCCCTTGAATTCTGTTGTGGAAATAAATACTTCAAAAATTGCACCACAACCACCTAAAAATAATTTAAATTAGTTTATATAAATTAAATTTAAAATGTAAAAGATTTATAGAATATAATAATTTGATTTCTTTTAATTATATAGGTAATTATTAAGTGACAAATATTTTATGGTAAAATAG